TAAACTTATACAAATCAGATGATCACACTCAGTAGATTATAAGCTTTGTAATGATACCTTACAAGAGACCTTTTGCATGAAGCATATCCCAGTTACGTTATATTCACTTTTTACCATATTTTTCTAAAACTATCCCAGTTACATTATATTCACTTATTATCATGTTTTTATAAAACCATATAGACTGCACAACGTCACACTGATGGTCCTCGGTAAACAACAAATAATAACAGAGTAAGCAATAATAAAACGAATGTAGCAAATAGGTTACTTTGCAATGATAATAATGGAAACAATTGTTAAAACATATATATTGTGATAATACACTTGGCCGTTGGATTTTCAACAAGAAATTGTAATTGTGTGCATATATTTAGAGGGTAGATAGGGGGCTTACATATCTTGCTATCTTTGTCAGACAATTAGCCTGAAATGCACTGGCTGAACCTTTGACAGGCAATATTAGTGCTGATAAATAACTATTGTGATATTGTCACTTTCATTCATATTATTGATATATGAAATGTAGGGGCATTGGTAACAAAAGCAACAGAACGAAGAGACATGCCAGGCAGCTCAAAATTTTTAACAGCAAATAAAACTGAATTTAATTTAGTTCACCTAGTAAAATGGAACCTTTAAAACAGAGAATTCTACTGGCTTAATTAAATATTTAATTATCTGAATTAACTCTAGACTGTACCAATTAAGATTCCCTTAATGGATCTGTGAAAGTCTTTTCCTATTTATGGGTCAGACACAGATGCACTTTAGTTATAGTTGCTGTGACAGCCTTAAAGATACTATGTAATAAACTAAAGATACTGAGATCTAATAATTTTATAAACACTGTATGTGACCTAGTCAGTAAGATAAAGTTACTGTAGAATTATGGTGGGTTATTCAAATTTCCTGTTTGAATGTATTATTCTAACTTAATAAGGGGCTGTGGGAAAAACAAGCAGAAAGAAATACAATGGATCCAGATAAATAATTTCCCAGCAAACATGTGGGGGGAAGAAGGGGGAGGCAGTTACAACAGAATGGTGTAATTCCAGACTCCAGATTGACATGACACAGTTGTTTTTCCATGTTGGGAGCCTATAGACCAAAAGAACACAAAGGGCTTGTCTACACGTAAAAAGCTACAGTAGTGCCACTGAGCATTTTAGTGTAGACACTATCTATGCGGATGGGAGTGGTTCTCCCGTTGGTGTAGGTCAGGGGTTGGCAACCTTTCAGAAGTGGTGTGCCGAGTCTTCATTTATTCACTCTAATTTAAGGTTTCGTGTGCCAGTAATACATTTTAACATTTTTAGAAGGTCTCTCTCTATAAATCTATAATATATAACTAAACTATTGTTGTATGTAAAGTAAATAAGGTTTTTTAAATGTTTAAGAAGCTTCATTTAAAATTAAATTAAAATGCAGAGCCCCCCCAGACCGGTGGCCAGGACCCGGGCAGTGTGAGTGCCACTGAAAATCAGCTCACGTGCCGCCTTCAGCACATGTGCCATAGGTTGCCTACCCCTGCTGTAGGTAATCCACCTCCCTGAGAGGCAGTAGATAGGTCAATGGAAGAATTCTTCCCCCATCTACACGGGGACTTAGACAGGATTTTTCATTCTCCTGACTGATTTAGTTAAACTGCCCTAACTTGCTATGTAGACCAGGTCTAAACAGTTAAAAGGTGAGAGGAAAGGGGTCAGTTCCAGCAGTTGCCTAGGGAAACAAGGTGACACCGAGAGAGGGTCTGAAGAAGAGTCTGTAGGAAGTTAGACTTACTAGGTTCCCCATAGAGGAGATTGTTAGATGCCTGTTAAGCTAGACACGCATACAGTCTATAGTTTTAATAAATGTTTTCTCTGAAATGCTTGATCCTTAAATAATACTTTGCTTGAAGAAGGCTGATTTGTCACTGGTTACTATGGTCATTGCTCCTAGAGGGAAGAAAACTGCAAGTGCTGATCATAAGTCAGACTTTTTGAGGTAATCACAATAACCAGGAACTGCAGCCAGGGCCTGGCAGTAGAGTGGAAAAATCCCATGATTCCATCCCAAGAAAGGTGATGGCATGAGGCACAAGACCTAAGGGGGGGTGCACTCAATGAGTCTGAGGGGAGTCAGATGTGCATTTAGCACAGTAACTGTGACAGTTGCAATGTAGTTTTTGTTTAAAGCAGGACTTTGCAGCCTCCCTAAAATCCACATACATCATCATATCCGTTTGAAAATGGTAGTGCCAGCCAATTAAGCAACCAGTCTAGTTTATGGTGCAAATTTAAACTCATTTGATCAAGAGGTTTCCAAGATACAGCTCTTCCCCTCCCTCCCCTGACCTGTTTTTTTTAAATAAGTCATAACTATAATGATTTTTGTGCAGACATATGGAAACATGAGTGGAGAGGGGGGGGGGAGGAGTTAAGAATCCACATGAAACGTATCACTTGAATACCCCCAATTAAATACAATGTGTCTGTACCGAGATCAAGCTCCTAGTCAATAGGAAGTTATTCACAACTGTACAGACTGGTCTATATTCCTGGCTAACTCTCTCAGGTAGAGATGAAAGAGGTAGAGATATGAGAGCACAAGTGCACATCTCTCTGATAAAGTACTCTTTAGGGGAACGGGCACCAGGTTGACACCCAGGAGCTCGTCTCTTCATAAGCTGACTGCATTTAATATTTCTGTGCACTTCACAAACTTAATTATTGACCATGGCCTCATATCCCCAGTGTGGAGAGAAGCAACCGCATTCCCATAATTTACAGATAAGATAGCTGAGAGGTAGCATAAAGTCAGAAATAAAGACCTACAATTTCCCTTTCTGGATGAGGCAAAGGAAACCAAAAAGGCTGCACAATCATCTGAGAAGATCTAACTAACTAATCTATCTAACTAAACAGATTTTACTATCAAACCGTAATAGTTATCTGCGAGTATGTGTGCACGTGCTTCTATGTGCATGTTTCTCTATGTATGCCTGTGTGTTCTTGTTTGAATATATGTATGCATGTGACTGTGTGTCTCAGAGGACATATTTCACACTGGAATTTACATCCTGAAACTATGTTTAAAAAGTTCTGTATGTTTTTACTAGAGAAAGGGTTAAGCCAACCATCTGGAACCAGGCTCGCTGAATCATGGCTTGAGATCTGGATCTTAAATTCAAGGTTGGCTCCTTGCTTTAAGAGGCCATGTCTGCACAGGAAGGCCCCTGCTCCTGCACCAGTTTAAGGCAAGGTGTGAATTTTTCAGTGTTTCTTGGGAAGAAGTTTAAGCTAATGTGAAAAGCCACTCAGACAGCAAAATAAGAGTTCCCCTGCAGGGGTTATACTAGTATGGCTACATTGTGTAACTGGTTTCAGAGTAGCAGCCGTGTTAGTCTGTATCCACAATAAGAAGAACAGGAGTACTTGTGGTACCTTAGAGACTAACACATTTATTAGAGCATAAGCTTTCGTGGACTACAGCCCACTTCTCCGGATGCATGCATCCGAAGAAGTGGGCTGTAGTCCACGAAAGCTTATGCTCTAGGGTTACCATATTTTGTGCCTCCTAATGGAGGACACTC